TCAAATATTAAAATTTGATATTTTGTTTGAACCAAAACTAAAATATTATGAGACTATTATTTTTGTATCATGAATACATAAAATCTGGTATTGATGAGCATCTTAAGACACTGGGCTAGATTTCTTATCTATATTTCTCATCTAATTTCAATGCTACACACAAAATGATTGTTTTAAGCCCAAAGGTACAGATGAAGAAATCAATGCTCAGAAAAGCTAAGTAATCTGCCAAACGAACTTTGAAAATAACATAGAACAAGAATCAGAAACCTCGGGGAGAGGTGTTTTTGTTCCTGTAAGACCTGAATACATAATATTTTCATCAATATTGTGTGCTATCTATTTGGAAAAGCAACATATAAACAATACTTAAAATCTTTTACCCACTGACATGAAATTAATTTTAGCACAAACAATAATAAATATGTCTGTATTTATTTTTGCACCTATATTTTCAAGCACATTGAATATTTTAAAATATATCATATTTTTAAGTATGTTGAAGGCTTGCCATAGAAAATACATAGACTAATAGAGAAATTATACAGTTCGTACTTTTTTACATAAGCAAGGTGTTTAAAATCCAGTTATATATGTATATGTAATATAGACTTTTAATAAGACTTTCATGCTGCAGATGGCAGCAACATATCACATTAGGATGGCAGTGCTTAGCTATAACAGCAGAATCATGGACTTGCAAATTTCTCTTGAATATTCACTTTGTTCTTTCTGTAATCTGGGAAAGAAAATACATTGATTTTGTATGTGAAATTTGATGTTTTTTTATCAACTGAGAAACAGACTATTTTTATTGATGTATTGTGCATACCACAAAAGTTTAGTAATTACTTACTATTTTTAGTGAGCTGATTGAATACAATTTCCATCAATTTAGTGAATGCATATAACTTTTTTTTAAGGAAACTGAGTAACACAGCTTTATCAAATAGTTAAATAAAAGCAGCCATAAAGAATATAATTGAAAGTAGATTCCCAAATCTGATTTTGTCTTCATCACTTACAAGACAAACAATTGTTATATGAAATTTAAAATCATTTAAAATGATGCAGAAAAATCTCTTCACTTTGATCGTTTGTATGTGGCATCTTGATCACCTTCAAAGGAAACTTATAGGCAAAGCTGAGACACATGGAGTCTAATTTTTCTGATTTGGTGATTCAAGTTCATCAAGCAAGTGTGAGTTGGTCTGACCATGGATATAAATTCCCTCACCATTTTTAAATAGGCTTTTAAGATAATAAAGTGATAAGAATACAAAACCATAATAAACATTCAATCTAGAACTGGGATCAGGGATCAGAAGCAGGGAAAAGCATATCAATGTAGAGAAATTGACCTTATCCCACTCATATGGGTGAGTTTCAACTCAGGCTGAATGTTCGAATCACCTGGGTAGATATTTTATTAAATACCAATACAGAGGTCTCCTTCCAGAGCTATTAAATCAAAATCCCTTGGAGTATCTCCTGGGCCACTTTATTCTTTTTGTAAAACTGCTCAGTAATTCTAATGTGCAACCAGTGTCATAAAAAATTTCCTATTTAATGATGACAAAATTGTATAAACTTTATTTTTAAGTCCAAATCCCAAATTTGGCATTGAAAACCTTCAGTAATCAGTTTCTGGTTTACTTATATACACTTCCTGTTAGGTTGAGCTCTTTGTAGTACAATAATGACCCTCTGGGATCCCCATGCAAATCCCTAGTCTGTTCTCTTTAACCTATGTTTCAACTGTGCTAAATGATTGCAAAATAACAGTAATAACAGCAGTATAATCTTATACTTTTAGAATTCTTTAGGGTATTTCAAAGCACTTGCACACATATGAAAGCCCTGAGTTGGACCTCACAAGAAGACAGAGAGAGGGTTTCAATTGTACATAACGTTGGAGACAACCAGGTACAACTTCCATATACTGAAGACTTAGAAAATGAGAAGTAGAAAAATTAAATGACTTTCTGCTACTTTGTGTCCACAGGTTCTTTTACTATACCAGAGGATATTTTAAAAGACTGTACATAATATATAAAATGTTCAAAAATGGTCAATTGATTAATAAATTATGGTTCACACATAAAATGGAATTCTTTCTTTTTAAAATCAGATTGTTATTAAAATATAAATGATACAATACATAGACAGGATGGAAAATATCTACAAAATAATAGGTAAATGAAAAGCA